CACTGTGGTATTTTTCCAACGCTGCAGTCGTGAAAATTCTGTGATTTCCCTCTCAATCAGGTAAGCAGCATGCAGGTTCGTTTGGTGAACAATGTATTCCATGAGTGGTTCATCATAGAATGCTGTAAAATATTCCATCTTAGCCATGTCCTCACCTTGATTAGGGAAAAGGTTTGTAATCCCTACATCTTTATCGTCAAAGTGAGGAATATTAGGAATAAAATCGTCACCATCACTCCACTCAAGTACACCAGGCGTCCTACGAGATGCAGAGGAAAGACGGTGAGGAAGCGATGCATACCGGCGACCAGGAGCTGAATACCGTCTGCGAGAAGCACGGCGGCTACGTTCACGTGAGGTGGGTGCACGTGAGGTGGGTGCACGTGAACACGAGGGTCTTGGTCCCTCATGTGGTGCCATGCGGTGGCGCTTGGCCGGGCGAGATGCTGCTGACGCGACAATTTCTCGCCCAGTTACACCACTGGTACCAGCCACAGGCTCAATAAAACTTTGATCTGAGTCACTAAACCCAGAAAAGGAGTCACCTCCCTCTGACTCGTCACCCTCAAACAGAAAATATCCACAGGAACTGTGAGGTCGTGGTAGAATTGGGGTAGAAAATGGGCGAGGAGGCATGGGAGAGCGTATAGGCCTCGCCATGGCATGGCGGTCATTCTCACTTTCACTGCTGCTGCTACTATCACCCGACAACTGTGTATAATCCTCATCGTTGTCTGAATCGTCAAACACACTTTCTTCACCTTCAGAGAATAATTCGTGGGCTATTTGCTCTGGGGTGAGGGACTGAGTGGTGCGTGCCCGTGAGGCGTTTGACCGTGCGCTCGCCATGGTGACTCTCGCTAAACTGAGGCCTCCCATGCCTTCGGATCGTGAGCGGGAATTTTTTTCAAAATGGCCGCTGTTTACTAGAGCCCCTGGGCAGCGTATGGGACCCCCAGCTACACCGCGGGCCATTCAAATCGTGCGCGGTACCCATACACTTCATATGAAGTGAAGCGCAGTTGACTGGTAAAACGATTTACACTTCATATGAAGTGATGCGCACTTTAAGGGTTAAAGAAAGTCATTATTTGTTGATCACACTTTATTATATATATTTTTCCTGTTCTTTCCTTCTTAAAGAAAGGATCTGCCCAAAATGCTACGCGTGTTACTGGTTTTGCATGAATGTAAAAATACCAATCTTATGTAATCTCACCAACCCATTTTACCTTCTTGTAAATAAATTATTATTATTATTATTGTACACACAGAAATCACAATAACATGATATACCAAATGAACAAATCCACAAAGGCCTTGATGAGGGATTCGAACCTATGCGCTGATTGTTCCCAGACACGCCTTAGTCAACTGTATCATGACATTGAACATGAGAACAAAAGAATAAAGGTAACTGTAGAAGGCCTATTGGCCCATATGAGGCAGCTCCTATTTATAACCACCCAATCCCACTCATATACATGTCCAACCCACGTTTGAAACAATCGAGGGACCCCTCACTTCCACCACGTTATGCAGTAATTGGTTCCACAAATCAACAACCCTGTTACAGAACCAGTATTTACCCAAGTCTTTCCTAAATCTAAACTTATCCAATTTGTATCATTGTTTCATGTTCTGTCTTGTGTTGATACTTTTAATACCCTATTAATATCCCCCTTTGTTATATCCATTCATCCACTTGTACTTATCTATCATGTCATCCCCTAATTATTTGCCTTTCTTGAGACTAATTTAAGTTTTGTCAATCTTTCTTCATATGACAGGTTTCCAATTTTGGGGATTAACGTTGTCATCCTACGCTGGATGAGTTCTAATGAATTTATATCCATTCTATAGTACGGAGACCAAAACTGAACTGCATAATCTAAATGGGGCTTAACCAAAGCAAGATATAGCTGAAAAACGACACCAGGTGTCTTATTACTAATGCTTCGATTAATAAATCCCAGTGCCCTGTTTGCCTTATTACGAACACTTATGCAATGATTTTCTGGTTTTAAATTCTTATTAATCATAATGCCCAGATTCCTTTCGCAATCTGACTTCGCAATCTCAACACCATCTAGCTTGTATCTTGTAATGCTATCATTACCTAGCCCCAAACCTTACATTTGTCAACGTTAAACTGCATCTACCAATCTTTTGACCATTTCAAAACCTTATTTAGATCATCTTGAAGTGATAGTGAGCCTTTTTCTGTGTTTAATACCCTCTCGATTTTTGTATCATGCAATTCTTTTGACCATGTCATGGTACAGTTGCCTAAGGCATTTTTGGGAACACTCAGCACATAAGTTCGAACCCCCATCAAGATCCTTGCGGATTTATTCATTATTATTAAGAGTTAATGCTGATAGTCACAGCTTTATTTTAGGTTGTGTAGCATCAGTATCTGCTGATACAGTGTGTCCTTACTTGAACGAACTATATGGGGGTGAAGTCGATTCGTTCTTGTGCGGAATTCGTTCCATCCGTCCAGCCCAAAAAAAAAACTCCGACCCCCCTCCCCCCAAAAAAATTAAGCTTACCTAATTTATGTAATTACCTTAATGTAATCTTTCTAAATCTAGCAATAAATTGTTATTGTGTTTTACTGTACTTACCTTAACAACTGAGTTGTGTAGTGCAGACTTTTAGCCTTAATACCCTGAGAGTGCCAGATATGATATGAATATAAATTCATTAAAGAACAGTAACTTTTCTAACAAATGTACATTATACACTACAGTCTGTACATAAAGTACAGACCTTCTGTCTGTACTTTATGTACAGACAGAATTCTGTACTAGAATCACACTACTGAAGTGAACGTATACAATACTGTATCATTTAAACTACACTTTTTGCACTTTGTACATTTGTCATTAGAACTGTGTTGTACAGTTCAATTGGCACTCCCAGATAAGTTATGGCTAGTGCTGGGTGCTGGTCCAGTTGCCTGGGCATCCTCAGGTGAGTCCTTGCTGGTGCTAGTTGCTAGTCCAGTATCCTGGGCATCCTCAGCTGAGTTCTTGTTAGTGCTGGGTGCTGGTCCTGTAGGCCTATTGTTAAACTGTACCAAAAACTTTTGAATCTTAGTTTGTTTCTTCATCATAATATCTTTCAATCCCCTTAGGTGTAGATAATAATCTGCCACGTCTTCATCATCAGTTACAGCAATCATATCAAGAAGCTCATTAACGTTTTGTAATGATGCAGCATAGAGAATTGGTAACATGCTACGGGTATCTTCCTCCTCTTCTGCATCCTCATCAGCATTACCAATAACACACTGGGTAATCTCATCATCAGTTAATTCACCATAACCTGGATCATCAGCATCATTATCTAACCACTCAGTCACATCAGAAAGTTACAAATCTTCCTCGCAAACATCTCTTAATGTTTCAAAAATCACATTATCAAAGCCCTCAAAATCATAGTCATCTGCGTCTTCATTCTCACCAGGTACCGGACTCGGAATTGTATTCCATGCATTCTTTAACCACTGTGCTACGCCAAGTTTATTGTGAAATTCCCCGTGTGTGCATGAAATAAAGTGTTCCAAAAAAATTATTTTTCTTCGTAAAATGGTAAATTTCCTTCCCTGAACATGTCTGTGTAAAAATAAATACCAAATTCCACTTACTTTGGCTGTGGGACGTGAAAAAGGTACGCTGTGACGTCATCAGGGCCTGGTCGCCCATGCGTGACTCACCCAGACACGGTCGCATGGGACATTCAAGCACCTGGTTTTGCCATAAATATATTTTCAATTATTTTTTTTATGTATTTCCAATGCGGTTTTATTTGTTTTGTTTTTATCGTATATGATGCATATTTGTGTCCTTTACAATACGTATACAGTAGAACATTCATAATGTTCCATGGAACTGTGATACATGTATCAGTAATGTGTCCACAATAAATGTTTATTGTCGCAAAATTACCTGTTAAAAATTCACTAAAATTACAATATGTACAGTTTCACACACTATTTACACAGTAACACACTGTATTACACATTCAGTACTTCGGAAGTGAGTAATATTCAACGAAGTAGTCCATGGTACACAGTGCGACTTCGCTCTCAGTGCACCAGGTACAGATACATATTCGCTTCCTGTTTCTTCATTTTGTGTGCTTGCAAATAACGCACTCACGTACACCCTTGGCTTTAGTACTTGTAGGTTGTATGTAGCCAAGCTTGTAAAGCATAAGGAAGTATTGAAAAGATTATAGAAAAAGATCAATTTGTAAGGTAGTCTTGAAAAGATTGCTTTGTATGGTCCCACACAGGAAGAGATTCAGCTTGCCTCAAAGAGTGTCCGTCAGTCAGAAAGAGATTCAGCTAGCCTCAAAGAGTGTCCGTCAGTAAGGAAGAGATTCAGGTATTCTTGAAAATATCTATGGAAAACACCACCATGGAAGCCGCTAACACTGTTCATCTATGCTACTTGTATCAGATGCATCATCATTGAACGCAGAAAATGATTCATCTATGTATCATCTAAATAAATTGGAGATGGCATAGGATTGCAAGGGGTGATGCTCAGAGCTACAACTGGATAAGCTCCTGTATCCTCCTCATAGGTGCTGTATCACTTGCATCCGACCTTTGTGTTAGGTCTTTATTGCACCTAGCTTCACCAATATTATGACCCTTATGTTCTTCAAACAATAAGGTTTGAATTTTACCGACAGAGCATTATCTTTCAACACCACGTCGGACAGGTGTTTGAGAGCCAGAGGCGCGTGCGCCACCCATGGTTGCTCATTCAGTACTAACCCAGCCAGCAGTCCTAGGGCATTCTGGGAATTTTTTCCAAGATGGCTGCCTCTCACTGGTGGTCCTAAGAGTCCATTTCATACACAACCAACCTTGTACACATTTAGGATTGGTACCAAAAAATCAAAAAGAGTTTTCTCGGTTGGCGCAGTTTGCCACCGACCGAGAATACTCGGCTGGCGCAGTTAAGTGGTTAATGTGGAACTCACTTCAACTCGTTCCATTGTTTGGCCCAGTTGTAAAGTGCATCTTTAATTGAATATTTCTTGAAGTTTTCTAGTATTCTACTAGCTCTTGTATTCTTATTAAGCCTCTCGTCTTCCTCACAGAGCACAACTTCCATACTTTCTACATTCATAGCTCTCTTATAAAGCCGTTTGAGAGCATAGATAACCCCCTGATCCATGGGCTGTATTAGAGATGTAGTGTTTGGTGGCAAAGCCATATGTGTTATTTTGCCATCAAGCAAAGTTAATTTAGCAATGGGGTGAGCTGGGGCATTATCAATCAACAGCATTGCCTTTACATCAGCAGGACAAATGCCATGCTCATTGATCTGATGCTTTCTTACTTCTTTACAAAAGTGATTCTGGAACCAGTCTTCAAAAATAATTTGTGTGAACCAGGCATTTCTTGTGTTGTAGTAAACGACAGGTAGTCTGTTCATGCAGTTTTTCAATGCTCTGGGGTTGGCAGATTTCCCAACAATTGCGCACTTTATTCGGTGACTGCCATCTGCGTTACTGCACAATAATGCTGAAATTCTTTCCTTGCTTAGCTTGTGACCAGGAATACTCTCTTCAAGCCTAGAGGCCAAAGTGTTTCTTTGAAGGCATTTCCAGTTAAAGCTTGTTTCATCTGCATTGTACACTTGAAACCAGCTTAGATTATTAGATACCATGTGCTGAGAAAGTTTGTTTAAATGCATTAATACTTCCAACATCTGCACTTAATGCTTCGCCACAAATTTTCTTGTTAATGATGCCATGCCTCTCTTTAAATTGACATACACATCCAGTGCTAGCCTTGAAATTGTTTATGTTTAACTTTTCAGCAAGTCTTTCAGCTGCATTTCTAATAGAATCAACTGAAACAGCAATTTCTTTTGCACGATGCTGTGTGAACCATTTGTATACAGACGAGTCCAAACTTGTATATTTAGCAGACTTCAATGTTTTCCTGTTGCCTATTGCATGAGTTTGACTTTGAACAACAAATTTCCTAATATTATCCTTTTGCTTTTTTATATCACAAACTGTAGCTTTACTGATGGTGAATTCTTGGGCGAGACGGGTGACAGAATATCCACGCTCTGCTTTCTCTATGAAATCAACTTTCTGATCAATTGACAAATATTTTCTCTTTTGTTTTAAATCTTGAATATCACGAATGCTGCTCTGAGACATCTTGACAGATTATAAATGTTCAAACAATAAAAATTGTTCAAAATTACCTTTCACGCGCGAGCAACACGTTTTCACACTAAGAGGAAGGGAGACAAAGGTGCCAGCCACCTCACCAAGGCCTAACGTTCACACAACCTGTGCTTGTTTTACTGGCCTACTCAAAATTTAAGCTAAATAGACTTACAAATTGTTTAAAAATAATATTGTTGGATGTTATAACTAATAAAATATTGTTTGTTTTGAAGTTTTATTCATTTTATACAGTACAATACTGTATTAATACCTAATGTACTACTGTACATAGGCTGTTAGAGGGAGGGAGAGGGGGATCCAAGGAATCCCCCCCCCCCCATGGCCCCAGGAGAGACACACTGTTACCCAGCCAGACAATGCCAAATCAGTTGTAGTACCCCCAACTGTCTTAAAAATTCAGTTTAAAGGAAATGTGTTCCAACTGCTTAAAATACTGTATATATCATAAATTTTCACTGTTATTATTGCTTCAATATGACATTTTTCTAATAAAAAGGCTATTTTCAGTGTAGATAATGCGATAATTAACATCATTAAATTGACTCGTGGCATCTGACGACGAGAGGAGAGGAGAGTGAGTGGCTGGTCTCTGGTGGTCAGGTGCAGGAGGGAGGATGGGGGGGGGGGGCTGGAGGGGAAGCATGAAGAAGCCAGTCACGTGTTGCCTCTACAGTCTCTACTGACACCACTATTACTCCAGCTTTCCCTGACAACTTCTACCACTGACAACCTGCCTCCCATAAGAATACGTAACTTACACCACCTGTCCCCTAACAATAAACCCTAACTACTGACACCACTTGCCCCCTAACAACAACTTTCTCACCAATACCCCCCTGACACCATTTTTATCACCATTTCTCCCTAGAAACAATGGGTAAAAATAATAAAACCCACTATAACTGTTTACACTTAGGCGAATCATGATTGATGACAGCCAGCTCCAACGCTCGACCTTGGTGACCACTGGGACGAACATTCCTCGCTTAATCGAACATTTGTATGTTCCACTGAACATTTGGTACCGAATTCAATTTGTTTGGCTCTTCCGGGAATTCGATAGAGCAGGGTTCATTAGACTGAGGAAGCACTGAAATTGTAAAAAAAAATCATATTTGTGGTATTAACCACAAATATGACCAGTGCCTGTGAATGCTGATAACACCCATCCTAAAGTATTACTGTACTTTAGTACCCTCTCATGTGTATGCTATATATTTAAAACTCTGAGCAGTAATGCCAATCCTGACTTTAAACACTTCCTAAAAGGTTGTAACAGAAACCATAGCCACCACACCAGTAACAAATACCTATTTGATATTCCAAGAGTGCGCCTTAACCCTCAAACTGCTAGGGGCCCAAATGGAATTAACACCCACAGGCGCAACAAAAAAAAAAAAAAAAAAATTCTTTCGTCTTATAGAAGTGTTCATTTTTGTTCCCTGATCACGGAAAAAAAAAAAAAAATCGTAGGTGGCATATTTTAGCCACAAAAGGGTAGGAAAGTCTGGCAAAAAAAAGAGGCGTTGGCAGAGCCTTCGCCAGACGAGGTCTACTCCGCCCGAACTGTCAGATGGCAGTTGCAATAAATATATTATTACCTAATTATTTCAATGTCTCTGATTGATTTTTCTTTTTGCAGTAATATTATTCCATACAGTGAATTAGGGTATATTTATATAATAAAATGTGAGAACCATTGCTGTACTCAAAATTATGGTGTGCATATTAGTGATTCAATTATTATGTTCATAAAACAATAAACAAATAGTTTTGCTGTTGTTACACTATATACACAGGATATATATAAGTATCTGCATGTTTTGTTCACCATAACGAACCATTTTGTTGGTACTGTGAGTCAAAAAGCAACGAGGAGTGACCGCCACACACTCATTGCCACTCCCTCCCTCAACAACACCTCACTCACCCTCATTCTCCACCCACAACACTGTTTTTGCATTTATTCACTATACACAGACGTTATATATACGTATTTACATGTTTTGTTCACCATAACTGTACATCTAAGCTTGTATGGTGAGTAAAGGCACAATGACGTAGCTATTCACACAGTCCAGTATGTTTGTGAATAATTCAATTTCTCCCACCCTACCCATCAACATTGGTGTTCCTCAGGGCAGCATACTTGGCCCTCTCCTCTTTCTCATCTACATTAATGACCTTCCAAATGCCTCCCAACACCTCAAACCAATTCTATTTGCTGACGACACAACCTTCATTTACTCCAGTCCTAACCCCCTTGCTCTAAATGCCACAGTAAATACTGAGCTAGAGAAAGTCCATCTTTGGCTAACTGCCAACAAACTCACCCTTAACATTGACAAAACTTTCTATATTCTGTTTGGCAATAAATCCTCTAATCAAATAAATCTCAAAATAAACAATACCCAAATTTGTAACAAATTAGATGGCAAATTCCTTGGCGTTCTCATTGACCACAAGCTGAATTTCCAGGGACACATTCTAAATATATCAAAAAAAGTTTCAAAAACTGTTGGCATTCTTTCTAAGATCAGATATTATGTACCCCGCCCTGCCCTGGTGACTCTCTATTACTCCCTCATCTATCCATATCTCAACTATGGTATTTGTGCTTGTATTTGTGCTACTACCCAAAATCATTTACGTCCTCTAATTACTCAACACAAAGCTGCTATTAGGACAATATCCAACTCTGGCCCCAGACATCACTTGGTACCCCTACTCAAATCTCTGAATATGTTTGATATTAGGTCACTGCACATTTTCTCATGTGTATTATACATATATAAAATGCTGAACTGTAATGCCAATCCTGACCTCAAAAGCTTCATAGAAGGTTGTAACAGAACCCATGAGCACCACACCAGAAATACAGTTTTGATATTCCAAGAGTACGACTTAATCAAACTAGAAATGCTCTACAAATCAAGGGTCCCAGAATGTGGAATGACCTTCCCAACCATGTTAAAGACTGTACCTCTCTCAACCAGTTTAACCCTTAACCCTTAAAGTGCGCATCACGTCATATGACGTGCTGGACGTTGTACCAGTAAACTGCGCATCACGTCATATGATGTGTTGGAGTACTACGCAAGATTTAAACAGCCCGCGGATACACGGGGTTCACCACACCTTCATCAGGGCTCTTGTAAACAGACCCCATTTAAAAAAAAAATCGTGGGCCAAACTCCCGGGTGTTATTGGCCTCAGTATTGAGTGAGCAACCAAGCCTGACGCACACAGCATGAGCTAACAGCACTGCTGTTGAGCTTGTGACCACAGCATCGCCTAAAAATGCCAAATTATATTTGCTCATGCTATTATGTAGCGATGATATTATTACAGAAGACCCCTAACTGTGATAAAACTGACCAGGGTTCTGATAATAGCAGGATTGTGGTGATATTTAGCACTGTGCGCCATGGAAGGAGGTGTAATGCTGTGGGAGGGAGGGTGGTGGCGATGTCTTTTGACTGTGTAGCCACCTTTTATTGACTGCACTCACCATACCAGCTTAGTGGTTCGCTACACAAATGTAGATACTTATATATAACGTGCGTATAGAGGGTATAAACAGCAAGAGAAGGTTTGGAGCCGCCATTTTGGTGAGAGCGGTGGCGTCGTCTGCACGACACCACCGTGCAGACGACGGTGTTGTTTACTGGTTACCACGATGGTCTTTGGGCACCATACCAGTTTATTTGTACAAGTATGATGAATAAAACAGGTAGATATTTATATATAATGTGTGTATATAGCGTAATAACACCACACAGTGTTGTTGGAGGAGAAATATTAGTGCGTCTGGCCTTGAGGGCGGCCGCCGATCAGCTGACTGTGTGAGTAGCCACATCTCTGTGCCTTTACTCACCATACAAGCTTAGATGTACAGTTATGGTGAACAAAACATGTAGATACTTATATATAACGTCTGTATATAAGATATATAGCGTAATAACACCACACAGTATTGTTGGAGGAGAAATATTAGTGCGTCTGACCTTGAGGGCGGCCGCCGATCAGCTGACTGTGTGAGTAGCCACATCTCTGTGCCTTTACTCACCATACAAGCTTAGATGTACAGTTATGGTGAACAAAACATGTAGATACTTATATATAACGTCTGTATATAGTGAATTATAGCAAAAACATTATTGTGGGAGGAGAATGAGGGTGAGTCAGATGACTGGAGGGAGGGCGGGAGTGGCTGGCTGGTACACGGCGGTCACTCCTCATTACTTTTTGACTCATAATAGCTACTTAGTGGTTTGTTATAGTGAACAAAACATGCAAATACTTATATATAACCTGTGCTTATAGTGTAATAACCGACAAAGTATTTGTTCACTGATTGATGAACATAATTGAATCAACAATATGCACACCATATTTTTGAGTACACCAACGATTCACTCATTTTATTATATAAATATATCAAACTACACACTATTGAATAATATTACAGCAAAAAAAGTATGAAAAATCAATCAGAGACATTGAAATAATTCGGTAATTATCTCTTTGTGGCAACTCTGGCCTGACAGCTTGCGAGCAACAGACCGCCTGGGACGCACGCTGAGTCAGCGCCTATAATTTGCCAGACTTCCCCGCCCTATAGCGGGCAATATGTGCCACTTACCATTTTTTTGTTATTTTTCCCGTGATCAGTGAACACAAATTAACAGGTTAGAAAGAAAAAATAATTTTTTTTTTTTTTTTAAATGACATGCGCCTGTGGGGATGGCAGGATATTAGACCCCGAGCATGTTAAGGGTTAAAGTGCGCATCACGTCATATGACGTGCTGGACGTTGTTCCAGTCAACTGTGCATCACGTCATATGATGTGTTGGAGAACTACGCAAGATTTAAACAGCCCGCGGATACACAGGGTTCACCACACCTTCATCAGGGCTCTTGTAAACAGACACCATTTTTTAAAAAAATCGTGGGCCAAACTCCC